TCCTGTTTCCTTATTACACTTCCAACATAAATCACTTTTATTCTTACTAATTCTGTCTATTTTATAAGGTGTAAGATACCAATGGAATTTCATCTTATACCAGTTCTCCCTCAAACTATGGAGCCTCTCTTCCAAGCATATTCCCACCAATCCAGTTGTACTGGATGACTTATATCTTGGGCCCATTTAATCATGCAGTGTTTTACACTTTCAGATTCTAAATCATATTTCAATAACATTTTATAGAATTTCAAAATGTGGTGATTTCCCTCTGTTCGTGTAGTTTTTATCAGATCCGTATTCCATTCTTTAAAACCATTAAGTTTATAGTCAATCTTGAATCTTTCTCTAATTTGTCTATATAAAAACCAGCTACAACTATAACCAGCTTCTTTCAGTTCTTCCTGTTCCTTCAATTTTACCTCATTATAATCTCTAGTCAGGATATCATCATAACTTACCCAATGATCTTTACACATTGGCTCCTGTCTATTAAAAGCCTCATTCACTGAGGTCCATCCAGGAATCGAGTCCTTCTATCTCTTCTTAACTATTTTCCATACTCTTAACAATGCTCGCTTTATTAAATGATTATTGAAATCTTTGTGTACCAAATCTTTTTTATATATTAAATAAGCGTGCCATCCATATCTGTTTTTGAATCCTTCTAGTTGTAGCATGGCTTTCTTTTGTAGCTTAATCAAATCACAAATGCATTCCAGACTACAGGCATAATAGTAAAGTTTCACATTTGGTAGTGCCATTCCTCCTTCTCCGGAAGTCTCCGTGATGCAATTTCCACTCTTCTCCCATGACGCTATTCAGTCCAATAGTTTTACTCTGAGTTAGGGGGGTTGCAGACTGCCAGAAATAGTGCAAATTGAGTCCACTTTTAGGGTTAGGGTTAGGGTTAGGGAGTCATGGGAACTGTATTTTATTGTGGCATCAGAGCGCTCTGACAGAGAAGGCTCAATGTCTCAGAAAAAAAATTCCCATGATTCCCTAGCACTAACCCTAACCCTAAAAGTGGACTCAATTTGCACTATTTCTGGCAGTCTGCAACCCCCCTTTGTCTACTTTCCTGGTGTCCACTTCTCCCAGCAATGTAAGCAGAAAAAAAAGTGAATGGAAATGAATCTTTTTTACTCCAGCTGTTTCTTCTTATTAGTAGTTAACTTTCAGTACCATCATTAACTAAAGGGGAAACAAAAAACTCCCAAAAGCCTAACTTTAGAGTCTCTTAGAGCAGTTGGTTTTCGCTCCGTTAGGCTGTTAAACAGCTTTTTATGTTTTTCAAAAAGTCCAAAGCTAAATTCTGGAAAGTGCTCTACAAAACTCAAAATAAGTAATCTCAGGCAAGCTCCTTACCTTCCTCTTTAAGTGAGAAAGATAATGGAGAAAAAGAAAAAAATAATATTGTGGTCAGACGTTGCTCCTGCTCCAAATTACTCTGGAAAGTTCGCTGCAGTCACGGTAGGCCTTCAGCCCACTAATTTCTCCCTCTGCTAAAGCTCCTTCTTTTAAGGGCTTTAGACAGTCCAGAGAGAGAGAGAGAGAGAGAGAAAGGGCCCAATGGCAACCCTGCTGGACTTTCTGTATCGAAGGAGTATCTTGCTGAATGAATTGATATTTATCTGGTCTTTTAAACTGTGACGAAAAAGACAACTCTTCAGCTACTTGCAAAGAGGAGTCTTACTGGAACTCCATTGCCCCCGGAAGTCCCCAACCTTGCATATTTAGAGGGTTTTGTTTTGTGCCTGGTCATTGGAAGGTACACATGGGCTTAATTTGTAAGGCTGAATGCTAAAGTATGAATTTCTGAGAAAATCCTGCTGTGGGCAAAAAAAATGGATTCATCACAGGAAATATGAATTCCCCTTGTTGAGTTTGATGTCTTGTATAGAATCAGCTGGTTATATGATTCCCTAATACAATGATTCCCAAACTCTGGTTCTCCAGATGTTTGGGACTTTAGTGGCCAGAAGCCTCAGCTATCTTGGCCAGTGGTCAGGAATTCTGGGAGCAGAAGTCTAAAACACCAGGAAGACCACAATGTGGGAACTACTTCCTTAATGGAAGTTCACTCTGAATGTGGGTCAACTGTGGCTTGAAACAGATGGGCAAGCACTTCAGGCCATGTTGGGGGTGTGGCGTTCATACGATGCATAGCCCCAAACTGCCCTGAAGCTGTACCATCTGCCTAAAGAAGCCTGAAGCTGGCTGGAAAAAGAGCAGCAAAAAAACACTCCTGCACGTGGTCTGTTTGGGACTGTGGCAGTAGCTGAATTTGGGACCACAACATCCAATCGCCGTGGTCCCAGAGAAAATGGGGTGGGAGTTCCATCTTGTCGCTCCTTTTGCCCCGTCTACATGACCCCTGTGTTAACTAAAGTATTATATGCCATTTCCCTTATCAGTCCTTTGGTTTCAAACATTAGCATCAATTATTAATATCACAGAAATTTACCATTCAGAGACATGGGTGTGCTAGTCTGGAATATCAGTATGCAAAAGGATCTTTTAGCACCTTAGAGATTATCAATATGAAAGAAGTTGCAGTGTAAGCCTTTGTAGATTTGGTCTACTACTGCATCTGAGGAAGTAGACAAAGGGCCTTTACAGACTGCCAGAAATAATGCAGCTTGAGGCCACTTTAACTTTCCTGGCTCAGTGCTAGGGAATCATGGGAATTGTATTTTTTTCTGGGACATTGAGCCTTCTCTGTCAGAGAGCTCTGGTGCCACAATAAACTACAGTTCCCATGATTCTCTAGCACTGAGGCAGGACAGTTAAAGTGGCCTCAAGCTGCATTATTTCTCACAGTCTGTAAAGGCCCAAACTCTATGAAAACTCATGCAACAACATCTTTTGCACAGTAAGTCCAAAAGGTGCTACAAGATCCTTTGCATACAGCAATATGCCATGTTATCTTTCCCCTTTTGCTGTTGTTGTTGTTGAGTGCCTTCAAGTTGTTTCCAACTTATGGTGATCCTAGGGCAAACCTATTCTTGACACGTTTCTTCAGAGGGGTTTGGCATTGCTATCATCTGAGGCTGAAAGAGTGTGACTTGTCCAAGATCACCTGTTGGCTGAGCAGGGATTTGAACCCTGGTCTTCTGAGTCATTGTCCAATGCCCAAACCACTGCACCATGCTCAATCAGCATCTTTCTGCATGGAACATGTTAAGCCTTTTCTGCTAACATTCCAATCTCTGCCAATCCTGAGAGGCACCATTTATTATTTAAGTACTGCTCTATATTGTCAGATGGCTGGAAAATTTGCAGTAGAGTCAGTTTAAGTAACTTAACATTCAAAACAATAAAATATTTTAAACTTGGGGGAAAAATTACACTTTGGCCCTAAGCAGACGACTAAAAAAGTCGTCTTCTGGGCAGAGAAGAGGAGGGGCAGCCGCACGAGCGGCGCCCCTTCCTCTCCCCGAGGTCGCCCCCAGATGCGCCGGCCGTCCGCATGACCGGCGCATTGGGGATGACCTCACGGCGCAGCGCCCACATGCGCTGCGCCGTTTGAGCCAGGGAAAGTGCGCCCGCCGCTTTTGGGGCGCACTTTCCCTTAGGTCTAAAAGGAGCGCCAATTTGGTGCTCCTTTTAGATGCGCCGACGGTGCGCCGCGGTGCGGAGGCTCCGCACCGCCGGCGCTCCGTCCGGCGGCGGCTCCAGGGCCTCCGTGTGCTGAGGCCCATAGATTCCAACATTTCAGAAATGAAGACAAGGACCCATGTCCCTGAGCAGTATCAGAACTGGTCAAGATGGCAAAAGTTTTGAAGTACGAAGAATATACAAACTAGAAGAGGCTGCAGCAGGTTGCTTTTCCCTGAGCCACCTAGGAAGGGCAAGATTCCATTCCCTTTTCTCTTCCCCCTCCATTGATTTAATTGAATGTGAACTATTGAATGCGAACAACAGAGGGAGGTGTAGGTGGTCCTCCTTGTGTAACCCCCACCTAGAAAACTCTATGAGGAGACATCAAAAGTTTCACACAGGCAGGACAAGAGCACTATCAGAGGTGCTTTAGATAGAAACTAAAGGAAAATACACTTGCAAGAGCAGCTAAGGGTAGCCAAAATGATGAAGCAAGCACTAAACACTCTCAGAAAGACAAACTCCATCAGAAGCAGCACCACACATAAAATAGGGACATGGAATGTGAGGAGCATGAGCCAAGGGAAACTAGACATAGTGAAAATGGAAATGCAATGCATAGCAATATTGGAGGTCAGTGAGTTAAAATGGACAGGAATGGGCCACTTTAAATCAGACAACCACACAGTGTTCTACTCAGGGAATGAAAAGACAAGAAGAAACTGGGTGGCTTTCATACTAAGAAAAGATATGGCAAAAGCAGTCAGAGGATACAATGCAAAATAAGACCAAATCATCTCAATAAGGCTCCATGGGAAACCTATGAATATCACCATAATTCAAGTATATGCACCAACCACTGAGGCAGAACAAAAAGAAATTGATAGATTTTATGAAGGAGTACAGGAAGAAATTGACAACACACCAACACAGGATGTCGAGCTGATCATTGGAGATTGGAATGCAAAGGTTGGAAGTAAAGGAAAATCAAAAAGAGTAGGCAGATTTGGACTAGGCAAAAGGAATGAAGCAGGTGAGCATCTGATAGATTTCTGTGAAGCCAACAACCTATTCATTGCAAACACATTTTTCAAACAGCCAATGAAAAGGTTATACACATGGACATCACCAGATGGCCAACACAAAAACCAAATAGATTACATAATTGGAAGTAATAGATGGCAAAGCTCCATATCGGTGGCCAAGACTAGACCAGGTGCTGATTGTGGCACAGTTCACGAACTACTCATTTCAAAAATAAAAGTAAAACTCAAGAAGAGAACAAAAGCAGTCATCATGCCAAAATAAAATTTAAACAACATTTCCACAGAATTCATTGGCAATATAAGGACAGATTTGCAATACTAAGTGTAATAGATCGTGAACCAGAAAAGCTTTGGTAGGAAGCCAGGGACATAATAAAAGAAGAATGCATAAAGATACTTCCAAAAGACAAAAGGAAAGTGAAGAATCCATGGATGACAGATAAAATGCTCCAAGCAATAAAAGAAAGAAGAGAAACAAAACACAAAGGAGATAGAATAAACTAAGAAACATGAATGCAACAGTAAAATGGCTTCGCACGGCCGGCGCTCCGGGGATGACCTCACGCCGTGGCGACCGGACGCACCGCGGCGTTTGAGTCAGGGAAAGTGCACCCGCCGCTTTTATTTCTGGCAGTCTGCATTATTTCTGGCAGTCTGCATTATTTCTGGCAGTCTACTTAGGTCCTAAGACTGAACTAAAAGCATAGAGTTAATGCAATGAGGTGTGTTGATTGCCTGTCTGGCACTCTGCCTACAGAATGTGTACCTTAGTCATTACGGCAACCCCTGCTTTTCACGATAACCAAATTAACTTATTTTTCAAGAGGAACAAACATAATGTCTAGTGAAATACCAAAGCAAAGCATTACTTCAATCCCATCTGTGTGTAATCTTTAGATAGCACATGTTTCCATTAATGATAGGTCCAAACATGCCCAAGTACACATGACTTTAGCTAGTGAAATTATTCTTATTCTGTTTGTTGTTGTTGTTGTTGTTGTTGTTGTTGTTGCTGCTGTTGCTGCTGTGATGTTCATTTCATCAGTTATCCTTTAGAAAATTCCAGATCCACCCAACTCCACCTCCCTAGTTTTGTTTTTGAACATAATCTTTCTGACAAGAAAGAAACAGAAGCAAGAAACCTATTATTCATTGTGAGTGAGCAGTTTCTAATTGCTTTGTATTTATTTTCAGTTCCTTAAATGAAAAACACACCCTCATTTGCTGATAGGAACAGATGTTAAATGCAGGATTCTTGTCAGCTTGTTGGTGATATGCACTACATTTTAAAATTAGAAGCCTGACTGAATTTTAAGTACACTGATCCCAGTTGTTGTAACTAGATTTAATGATTTGGCATACTATGCCAGAAAGAAAGAGGATGATAAAATATTTGATTTCCCTTCTCAAAAGAACATAAGATGAACCCTGCTTCATCAGACCAAGGGCAGATCTAGTCCAGCATTCTATTTGCACAGTGAACAAGCAGATGTTCATAATTTGTCCACAGCTGGATATGCTATTTGCTATTGTTGGTCTATAAATTCAAAATCTACTGGCTGCCAATTAGTTTCCAGGCAAAGTCCAAACTGATGTTTATTATCTTTAAAGCTGTAAAGAAGGACTTGAACTTGGGGAATTCCTAAAGTCTGTCTTCAATGGGATCTTTTATCCTTTGTTTATGGAGGTGGCTAGGTAATTGATAGATACAAAGCTTTCCAATGAATTATAATTTATTTAGGGATTCAAACATACAAAGACACTCTATCATATACTCATATACACAAGAACTCAGGAATAAAGCAGTTAGCTTGGAGAGGAAAGACAAGGCTTCCTAATGGTGATAATTACCTGAAGGAGGCTGCTCCAATGATGAATGAAGATGGATTGACTCAACCGGTATGAAAAGGGAAAGGACAATAGAAAGAGCCAGGACCCTAGTCAGAGTTCACAGTAGCGCAGTGTCACCATGAAATCTAATCAGACTCCATTTGCCTAAGATTTTGGGGATCTTTTATACCCTTAAACCTAGCCTGAGGTGACTATTGTATATCAAAGGATTCAAATTATTACTCTTTGAAGCAAACAATTTTCAAGGAGAGGAGATGGGATGTTAATGTTATCTCATCTTCACCCAGAAACATCCTGGCTGGCACTCATAAATCTTCTAGGTGTGAATGTCCTGCTTTGCAGCTCCTAGGCTTGACCCTTTTGATCTGCAAATTGTTGTAAATGCAGATGTGTTCTTTCAGGTGCCTACGTGATTTGCTCGCCTTGGGTCTTTGGAGATAAGGGCTTCTCTCAGTCCAGGGCCATGGCAGGGACCTAAAAGGGGTCTTTATATTACACCAGCCATTGTAAAAAAGCCTTACATGTTTTGGGTCCAGGTTACCTATGGGATCCTCCTGCCCTATAATCAATCCATATGCTCTGGTCCTCTGGGGGACATTTACCACAGCCAGCCAGGACTAAGGAGTTATTGCACATACAAAAAGACCCAGCTTACCTCTTCTGAATTAAAGCCCAATTTGGGCTGAAGCTGGGTTTTATCTCATGGCTTTTCCAGCTTAATTTGGCTTCTGAGTACATCCCCACTCCAATACAGATCCAAAAACATGCTCTGGTGGCCATTTTTTAAAGTTGGAAGTTTTCCAATTTTAAAAAAATTGCAACCAGAGCACGCTTTTGGATCCACATTGGAACAGGATGTGTTCAGAAGCCGAATTAAGCTGGAAAAGCCATATGATAAGACCCAGCTTCAGCCTGAATTGGGCTCCAATTAGAAAGAGGTAAACTGGGTCTTTGTGTCTGTGCGATAATCTCCTAAATTGGCAACTGTCACCCGTCGGGCATTTTCTTCAATCTCCCTTAGACTGTGGAAAAACCTGAATACACTGTCTGAAATTCAAATAGCATTAAAGACCAGGTTTTTTTTCCCCCCTGGCAGGCCTATCCAGATGATTTTTAAATTATGAATTTCAAAATTGTTTTAATATATGCTTACATGTTTCTTAAAACTGATGCTATATATTTTAACTGGTTTATGTGTTGTATTTTAATTGTTTTTGCTATTCCCTGCCTCAATCCATGCAAAGTGGTGGGAAAGAAACAACAACAACAACAATACAAACATCCCATTCTAAACAAATGATTTCACCTTCATGTTATTGATAACTGAAGAATGCTTTCAAAAACAAATGAATCTCAAGTTTGAAAGTAAGACCACACATTCCTAAGAAAGGCCAATTAGTTCTAGCTTTAAAATATGGCCTGAAAAATAGGAACACTGTCATGTCAAATGGACCATTAAATATTGACCACTCCTTCTTAGAGTGACAAAAAGCTGCCTTTGCCACTACAGTGGTGGCTTTTCAGCACTCATTTGGTGCAGTACGTATGAACACTGTGCCAAGGGAGTGCCCTCACACCACCAATGTTTATTTGCATGAGTGGCATGAGGATGACGTCGGGGCAACTGGTGTGCAGCTGTCACACTCCCGCTCTGCACCCA